TAGTTTGATATTCTATTTTGTGAATGATTATTTTATGGGAGCACAAACTTTTCGAACAACTTGGAACGTCTGAGTGAGTAATTTTGTTTTAAAGTTATTCCATGGTTTGGTTATTTGGGTTTTATCAGATTAACATTTTTCCTAACTAATTATTTTTTGTTTCAATTTCTTGCCATTCAATATTTTTACAATTTTTCGTGTGCCTTAATCTTAATAATAATTGTTAGTTTAATTTTTATAAATACTTCTTTCTTAATTATTCTTCTGTAAGTTAAGATAACTAACTAACTAAATAACTAACTAAATAACTAACATTGCATGCGGTAAGCGGAGATCTTCATCCGTTCGAACGCGGTCATTGCGACAGTTGGACCAGGCTTCTTAACCATTACACTGTCTCGTTGTCAGTAATGCCTCGCATGTTTTCGGTTTTACCATCTTCTGTGTCTGACAGTTTGATTTTTCAAAAAAATATTTAAAAATCTGCACCCGTTTAAATAAGCTTTTCTAATCTAGATATTTCGGTTTAATGATTTTTAATATTTTTATAAAGTTTTTCAAACTATTTAACTTATACATAGAGTTTCATGAACAGTAATACTTTTTGAAAACATAAGTAAAATAATCAGTTTCATGTTGCTTTATAAATCGTTTGTTTTAGCATTATTTTATTTGAACTTTTCCCACCAGGCAAATATTTCAAAAGAACTATGCTTGAAAAAATTAAGTTTGGGAGCGAAACCGAAAACCAAACAAAACCGATATTATTTTAGGAACGAAAACCAGAACCGAACCGAAATTCGCTTTGCTGGTTGAACCAAAACCGTAAACCGAAACGAAAAAGTTACGGTTCGATGCCCTGATATATTATATTTACACCTGTGACATAATTTGTAACCTGCATTTTTTTATTTATTCCTTACAATGCAGCTCTGTCAAACGCAAAGCTGTTTACAAGTTATTCCACACTTATAACTGAACCATCGGGCCACAAAGGCTGTACGTACACTATCCACACCACAAGAGCGCATACAAATTATTTATACACGCGCAAGAACTGCATCATACGCGTATGATCGGTCTGTGAGTTTCGGACAGGCAGTATTCGAACCATGCCATCGCGTAATAACCACGCAAGACACGGCACTCCTACTGACTGAGATAACTCGGTGCATTCGCATTTCATCTCCATTTCTACACAACACACTATTTTTTTTTTCATTTTCTAGTATCTGCTGGCTTCGTTGGGAGAGTTACAAAATTTAAAAAAATATTGAAATAATTTTTTGTTTTTGTTTTTTGAAATAATTGTTGATTTAATGTCACAATCAGACAATAAGGACTAGAATCAACCACGTCCCTACAAACATAGTTTCATTTATAACTTATTTGTTTATTTATTTATCTATCTATTAGATTGTCCATTTATTTATATAATTGTTCATTAAATTATTAAAATTTTTTATTAAATTATTAACAATTTATAAATAAATTGGTATGTGCACATTACACGCATAAGCATTCATTCAATAAGAACGTTTCGCATGCCAGTTGTTGCTAACTGAAGCCTGTCTCAGTGGCGTCTGTCGCAGGGCGTCGTTGATGTCTGAACATTTGTTCCGGCTCTTTCGATCAGCTTAATTATCCTCGCTCCGTTTCTTCATTGGAATATTAGAGTAAATTACGAAAGGAGCAAGCGTGTGGATGTTTTGTTGAGTTGCGGTAGACTGCTGCGTGTGCATCTCGAAATTATTGGCAGGTGGAATGTTTCGTCATGTTATGAGTTGTTCTACATGTTAAGACTTGTGCAGTGACTTCTTTAAACGTAGGGGGAATTCCTATTCTTAAGTTCTTGTCTGTTGCCTTTCACAGATTGGTATGATTTTTGGGGGAGTGTTTCACTTTTTAGTCGAACTCTGTCAAACGCAGATTATGTAACAACATGCAAGGTGTGGAACACGGAAAATAAGAATTAGGAATATAAAAAATATTAGTTCCAGTAAGTAGAAATAAAATAAAGTTTTCAACTCAGGAATATTCGAAGGGAAACAAAAATAAATATATAAATAAATGAAACAAAACAAGAGCAACAGCAAAAAACAAAAGGCGACATGTATTCAAAAACAATCATACTGCATCATTCGTTTTAAAATATTTTACATTTAGAATTTGTGAAGACTTAACCTAAAATGAACGCTTCTATAAAAAAGTTCATCTATAAGTGAAACATTTATTTGTGAGTTAGAAAGGTCACCATCACCATCTTGAAATGATTTCATGCCCAGAAACATGAAAACACAGACGAATGTTTCCAACGATAACATTATGACGTATCCACCACCCGTCAACAATGCTGTTACATCCATTCAGTTAGGATAGAGTTTGAGGTCCATGTGTTTGTTGAGGTCTGTTTTGGGTTATGTGTTGTTTTATGTTAAGTTTGATTGAAAGTTGTAGTGCAACTTATTGAGATTTAAATGTTCAGTGCTGATAAAAATTTTTCAAACAAACAAACAAATTTTAAAGTTAAAATTATTATTCAGACAATTGAAGGGCAATTTATTGAAAAATAAATGGTTAGTGCTGATAAAAGATTTTTAAGCAATGTTGTTCAATAAAAGTTATCCAATATATAATAATATCACGACATCTTTATCTAATTTGGGTCAAAGAATTTAATGAACAAAATTCAGTTTTTAAATTAAAATTCGAAAATAACATTCAAAACTTCATTACGAAATGAAGACAATGTTGAGTGGGCTCCTGTCGACAGCATAAATGCCGTGATAGTAATATTATGATGTTGTCGTTTTTAATGCTGTTGTTGATGATGATGATGATGATGTTGTTGTTGATGACGATGTTGATGACGATACCGTGATAGTACTGCACCATCTCGTGCGATGTTCATCTCTTCAAACAGTCATTATACGCCGCGTAACAATAACGTTGACATATCATTACGTCTGAAATGCAATTTTTTTATATTTTCTTGATGATCCTACTCTTCTCCTTCTTGTTACTTCTTTAGTCTTATCTAGGATTAACTATTGTAACTCGCTCTATTATGGTCTTCCTGATTCTATACTCTATCCTTTAAGTAAAGCTTTTAACTCATCTGCTCGTCTAGTTTCTCGTTGCCCTTTCTTTTCTCATATATCTCCATATGCACTGGCTACCTATAAAATATAGAATAATTTTTAAAATTTGCACATTTAGATTTATGTATAAATCTAAATCTAAATTATTTCCTAAGTACTTATATATATTAATTGAACTTAAACGCCCCGGTTTACGATCGTCTTCTTGTTTTCACTTCTTCTTAACTCGTGTTAAACATTGCGAAAATAGCGCTTTACAAGCTAATTGATTGATTGATAGATTGACTGACTGACTGACTGACTGACTGACTGACTGACTGACTGACAGACTGACTGACTGACTGACTGACTAACTGACTGACTGACTGACTGACTGACTGACTGACTGACTGACTGACTGACTGACTGACTGACTGACTGACTGACTGACTGACTGACTGACTGACTGACTGACTGACTGACTGACTGACTGACTGACTGACTGACTGACTGACTGACTGACTGACTGACTGACTGACTGACTGACTGACTGACTGACTGACTGACTGACTGACTGACTGACTGACTGACTGACTGACTGACTGACTGACTGACTGACTGACTGACTGACTGACTGACTGACTGACTGACTGACTGACTGACTGACTGACTGACTGATTGACTATAATTAATATCACTGATTAAAATTTATTCATAAACACACAAAATCTTCATGATAATCATATATGATCATAAATTCCACCCAGCTTCATGCGTTGGTTCACTAATTATATTTTGCATTGAAAACAAGTCAAATAAGCTGGATAATGATTTGGCGTGTATATCATCATTTTCCCCCACATGCATGTTTAAATCGCTTAGTAATTCGTAATCACATATCACTATATAAAAAATAAATCATGTATCATAGTAGGTATCATTATTTAAACGATAAATCATATCACTACGTAAATATCAATGATAATAAGTGTATTAAATATTGCTATGTAAACAATAAATCCTACAACAAATACCGCAAAATAAATGATAAATCATATACCATATATCAATACAAATAATTATTCTTATTTCATTATGTCAGTAACAAATCATACATCACTATATATCTCTTGTATATCAAAATATAACAAATCATGTATCATATATCACTATATATCACATATATATCAAAATTCGCTATAAAAATAAAACATCCTATATCATGCATCACTATATCATGTGTACCTGCGCTATTGGATTTCGACAAATCTCAGTTACATTATAACCCAAGCGCATTGTTGTTGAATCTGATATCTGAGTTTGCATGGATGGAAATTTAGAGTTGGACTAATATCATAAGCAATCATTAAACGGAGATTTTGTATATATATATATATGTATATATATATATATACTTTATACATTCATACATATGGAACAAGAAGGATGATGAGAGAAAGATATTATATATATATAGAGAGAGAGAGAGAGAGAGAAAAAAAAGAAAGAGATAGAGAGAAAGAGAAAGACACAGATTTGAAACATGAGTTATCTTTTAGATTTTGACGCCACAACCACAACAATCACGTGATAAATGGTCTCAATGGTTTATGACGACTCAATAAACTTTGAAACATATGTTCTAGCCATTATAGATTTATTTCAATGTTTATAAGTAATCATCAGTTTAAAACCAAAAATATGGTTCTTTGTTTTAGAAAATGTTTCAGTTTTCGCATCACATACAAGACAATTTGGTTTGCATAATTTATATCTATATAATATATTTATATATATTTAAATTATACCTAACGATAAATTTATTAGCAAACAACAATTTATGTAAACACAGTTTAACCCAACATTAAACTTTAAAACACCACAAGGCAGTTGATTCATTACACAAAATATTAATTAATAATGCATAAAAGATCATGCCAAACGTCCAAGCTTCTGTATTTTCATCCAGTGGTTGACAAAGAGTCTGCCTCGACGACTGCAACGCTCAACAACGCTCAAAAATCGCCATCGACATCGACAACAGAAGGTGCTTTCACAACTACAACTTTAAACAGCGTTCGTCTACCAATGCCGCCATCGTCGTCGTCAGGTGTGGCCACTTCCTCAATTACAGAACTCAACAAAGTCCACCGGTCGCCACCGCCGTTGTCACTTACTGAGGCTACTTCTGAGTTTAAGCAAATCAACAGCATACAACAACCAACACAGTCGTCGTCGCCAATGAAGGCCCACACTGCTCCATCCGCCAGACCCCTGCCAGGTATAAAACTTCCCCGTACAAGACGAGATTGGGAAGAGGCAAACGCATATTTCCATGCTGAGTTAAATTCATGGGGAGACGTCGATGATATTGACAAGTTAGCTTATCAGTTCAACAATTTAATTTACAAATATTTTGAAAAATCTCATGGTACCATTAATAAAAGAATAACAATAGACCAAAACCGTTCAATTAACCAACTGAAAAAAGATTTGGCCAAACTAAAAAAAATTGTAAAAAACAATAACAGCCAACAAATCAAAAAAGAAATTATCTCAACAAGTAAACTAATTAGAACAAAATTGAGATACAAAAAGGCTGACCGCAAGAACGATATTGCGCAACAATTAAAAAACAATTTCTGGAAAACGTGCCAAAATATTTTTTTGCCAACGAAACAAGTGTCACCACTGTTCGATGTAGACACTGGATATACGTATTTCAAATCCTCAGCTAAAAACAGTGGCAACAACACTTTTCATAAACCAGATTGGATACATTCTCTACAAATTCCATCACAAAATTGCAACAGTGATCCACCAAGTTACAACGAAATGGTTTCGGCCATACATAAAATAAAGTTCAAATCCTCGCCATGCCTTCTAGACCAAATTTCAATAATAGTATTTAAAAGATGTCCAATACTAAGAACATTTTTACACAAATTGATAATAAAATGCTGGTCAACTTCATCCATTCCAACATGTTGGCGTAAAGGTTTAACAATATTAATTTACAAAAAAGGAGACGCCAAAAACCCTGCAAACTTCCGGCCTATTACACTGCAGCCAATACCCTACAAAGTATTTTCTGCTGTCATCAAAAATAGACTATATCAATTTTTAGAAAGTAATAAATACCTCAATAAAAATATTCAAAAAGGATTCTATCCGTCGATTGATGGACTCACAGATCATACACAAATGCTTACCCATCTATTAAATGACGCTAAAAGACACCAAAGGACAATCATCGTAACATTACTAGATTTACGCAACGCCTTTGGTGAGGTAAGCCATGGATTGATTGAGTTAATGCTCATCCATCAGCACGTTCCACCTCCAATATCTAATTTGATACGTTCAATCTACTCTGATTACTCAATAATCGTATCAATCAATGGTAGTCTAACCCCTGCAATTCGAATCAGGAAAGGTGTACTACAAGGGGATCCATGTTCTTCGATCCTCTTCAATATGTGTTTTAATCCGCTGATGAAAATTTTGGAAGAAAGCGAGTATCGTCAATGCGGCTACATTTGGGGTCCTTCGGCTGAACTTAAATCCAGATCCTGGCTACAATTTGCTGACGATTCGGCAATCATTGCACACAGCACGGAAGGAGCGCAAACATTGATCAATCTAAATCAAGCATGGTGCAAGTGGTCGGGAATGGAAATGAGGATCGACAAATGTATTACGTTCGGGATGAGGAAAAAAGATGGCAATTATGAACAATTTATGCCAAGACCGAGTATAGATAACATTACAATCCCGCAGGTGGCCGCTGGTGATGGTTTTGAATATTTAGGTAAATTCTATGATTTTGGATGCACTAACAATAAGCTAAAAGACAAGCTATGCACCAAACTGTCAAACATGTTGAAAATAATAACAGCGTTAAATGTAAAACCGCAAGAAAAACTTAAAATAGTGAAAACTTATATTCCATGTCAGCTAAAATTCGACCTCCGATCCAGCGACATATCGCTCACTTGGATTGGAAACAACCTTGACAACATGATAACTGAAGCAGTCAGAAACTGGCTCTCAGTTCCGATTAGTGGCTGCGTGGCTGAAATCCTGTCCTTGCCGACTTGGTGGACATAACATAAAGTCTTTGAAAGACTCTGCCGAAGTGATGAGACTAAAGCTACGCAGCTACCTCAAAACAAATGTAAATAAAGAGATCAGATGCCTTTGGCAAGAGTCCAACACCAACCACAGCAAAATAGATAATACGCTGGAAAACGCGGTCTCTCTAAAAGCGGCGGTGGTGGCTGCAGAAAATAGATGCATGGAGATGCAATACAAACATATTGAGGCTCTCCAAAGTCAGGGTGTGATAATCAGATCCATTAAGAAACACATCACAGCCAAACAAATTTGCCGGTGGTCCGAAGCCCTTGACGATCTCCCAGCAGCTTTATACAAATTCGTCAGAAAGTACTTAATACAACAGTTGCCGACCAATGCAAACTTATACAGATGGGGAAAAACAAACAATCAACAATGCCCTCTCTGCAATGTAAGCCAGACCAACAAGCATGTCCTGTCCAACTGTGGATCAGTTTCAGCACTGGCTCGATACACAAAAAGAAATAACAAAATATTGAAGTTGATTGTCAACGCCCTGAGACTACAGAAGAGGCCCGATTGCGTCATCTATGCGGATGTAAACGTTGAAGAAGTACAACCAATATCAACCATGTTTGAATCGTTACGGCCAGACGTTGCCATCCTATATCGAGACACCATTGAGGTTCTCGAGCTCACGGTATGCCATGAAACGAATTTGGCCAACTCAAGAGAATATAAACTCTACAAATATAAGGACAGACTTATAACCAATCTCAATAATAATTTTAGTCAGTTCAAAATAATTATTAAAACAACTGAGATATCCCCAATGGGTCTCTTTAACAAATTGAAGTTGCAATCAATTAACATGTCTTGGTCGGATTCAATCATAAAAACATTGATGGTGGCAGCAATAACCTCATCATATGGCATCTACTGTGAACGTAACAACATGTAACAATCTTTGTGCCTCGTATACTTTTTGTACTTGCCCTACGCAATGAGCGAAAAGTTTTATCACTAACAGCAACAACTTTCTCTATTTTAACTCTATTTTATTTAATCTCAATATACTACTTAATATCATATAATTTCGTGTATTGCTAAACTAATTAAACTAAATTCTCATGTTAACATTCATTAATTATTCTTTTTAAATTTGGATTTTACGATGAAATAAAAGGCTGTTCACATTATTATTATTATTATTATTGAAATAATAACAGTACTAATAATAAATAAAAATATATCAATAATAGTAAAAATATCATAATAATAAAAATAAATAAATAAATATAAAAATAATAATAGCAGAACAAATGATAATAATAATATCAATAATAGTAAAAAAATAATAACGAAATGACAATAAAAGAAGAAATGGTAAAAATAGTAATAATAAAAAAGAAATTAAAAAAATTATGATAATTTTCGCATCGAAAAATCATTGAAGGGCGGCAGATGTGATAAGGGCTTTGTCGGACGACGGTGATAAACGATATATAAACTATATATCGACTATAGAAAGTTATACTAAAATAGAATTTCAATATGAGATCGGCCCGATACGTTCATTGTATGGCGTTCTCTCTAACTTACGTGTTGCTTTGTTTCTACAACGTTAAAAATAATAATTGGGTCAATTTTCTGTTGATTTTTATTTAAAAATTTGTTTTGTCACTTAACAGTAAGCGTAAACTTTCCCACAAAGGAAAGAATTTCTGTTTTTCTGTGAACAATGAAACTCATGCAAATATAAAATTGAATTGATTAGCAGTAAATAATCGTAATTATTAAGAAAGTTGTTTATAAAAAAATTTTTTAAAAAATTTTGCTGTTTCAACGCCAATTGTTGCAACATGAAAGCAGTTTGATGTGAGCATTGCAACGTTTTAAACGTTCATAAATAAAATCAATCAGTAAATCTCGAGTTATATATTTTTTATCGTGTTATTGGTAAGTGCAAAACATATGTTGTGCAGATAGTACACTATAAATATGTAATAAAATAAAAAGACTGGTTTCCTGATGAAGAAAGTATAGAGGTGTGATCTTTCAAAATCAAATGATATTTACATAGGTGAATCGGATAAAATTTCGTGGCTTTCGACATTGACTGGACATCAAATGTGAGAGGGAAATCAACGTGTGCAATCGAGTTTTATAATTAATTGTAACAAAACTTCACGTAAAATAAATTTATTTTAATTAGATTTTGATTTTACTCTATTTTTAATTTTTTATCAACATTTTTTTAAAAGTTCAAGTCAAATGTCTGTGGGAATAATGAACGGGAAAAAATTGGTGATGTTTATCTGCACGCTGTTTGTAATTATAATTGCCTTCGTCCATCTCTATGGAAATAAATGGAGTACTTATACGAACTTTGGCTTTTATGTTGGTCAGAAACAGAATGCGAGCAATAATTTATTCAATTACTCCGATAGATCGGACATTCATCTGGAAGATCTTTACAACAAGTGATCAAAATATTTAATTATTTAAAAATTAAGAATGTTCAAAGATGTTATCTTTTTTAAATTCGAGTAGATACGTGAGTGAAAATGACGTCACATGTAACTCGTCAGAGAGAGTGGGCAACGTTGGAGATGGGGGTTGGGATGTTTGTCTTCGAGGTCAGTACAACCTAGTCTCCCCATGTCTTGTCTATTCTTTTGGGTTAATTTTTTCATATTCAAATTTCAATACTATCCATAATATTTTTATTGAATTACAAAAAATAATGAAAATAATATTTATTCTAGTAATTTGAAAAGACTGCATGCTGTAGCTTAAAAGCGATTTAGCACTAGGAGACTACTTTTACGTCTTTGGACTTTTTTAATTCTATTTCTAGTCTGTTGCAATTAGTTCTGCTTTATCATTTGTGTGGGCTATCATATGCTGTTTTACATTATGTGATACCTCTCTAACTATATTTTCATCCATAAAATTTGACTAGTTCTATGTTGGAAGTTGTTGAATTCTACTGTTTCCACTGTATGTTTGATATTTTATTAATATGTGTTGATTTGATAGTTTTGTACAATAGTCTTTTTTGTAACGGTGGTTGCGTTTTTTTGAAAAGCTATGAGTGAGTTAATTTTGAATAACCAATTTGCTGTTTTGACTTAGTTTTTTTTGACTACATCATTTTTTTTTTTTACTTTGAGGAATTTTGTCACCTCTTGCACTTATTTTTGCACTTTTCACATGTAATTGTTTGTTTCAATAAGGTTTACCCGGTTAACGCAAACAGTAAGCATAAGGTGTTCTAAAAAATATACTTTTTTAGTTGCGGATCTAGACAATGTTGTCGGGTGCCAAATTTTAAAAAAGTGGAAATTTTGAAATTTAACTGGAGAGCTAAGAATATAGTCTATTGTTTGCTTGTCTGGCCAATATTAGACTGGCGAGCTCCGTCCCCCTAGATCTGCCACTGTTGTTATTAAAATATATAAGCTAAAAAAGTGCTCATGTTGATTTCTAGAAAAACGTTAAGTATTATTACTTAAATTTTACATCTTACATTTAGTAAAACAAATGTCAAAAATTTTTTAGTTTGTGATCATTTATTCACGTATCGAATCAATATTTGCTTGTTTCTAAATGCACTCACGTTATTCGAATTCTAATCGCTATTGATTGAAATAATTCATACGACGGCTAGCGAGTAAATATCATTAAAGTCTGTTTTATTATTTTATGATTTGGTTTGCCAGCTCTAGTAAGCATTGAATTATTTCCATATTTTAAATATTTCCATATTTTAAATATTTTTAATGAATGGAAATGTAAAGTTTCGTTTTTAATAAATTTTGCAAGCAAATAATATTTAGTTAAAACACATTATATTTTTAATTGTTCCATCAATATATACCTGTAGTTTATTTCAATTAAAACAATTTATATCAGCCTAAAAAGTTTTGATCAAGAAAACATAAATTAATAGACGAAATATGCCTACATGTTATAAAATAAAGTATTTATTTAATTAAAACAGCATCAACAACGAATGGTCGTTTGATGACGGTATTGTACGATCATTCAAATGTTTGGTACGTGCCTTCGATCCCAGGTTGGTTTCGGTCAATTGTTTCGCAATTGAATTACAATAAAAAAAAGTGTAGTTGATATTGCTGTTAAATTAGCAACATATATCTAGAATAATATATATATATATATATATATATATTACGTTGCATAGTGGTTAGAGTAATGCGCTTAAGTGTCTCTAGCATAATATATTGCAGGCTATCGCATTGTTGAGCACCTCTATTGAGTTATCGTTATCTTCAGAGGTGCCAATTGTGCTTCGGTTTCGTTAAAAAATGATGTTTCAACGGGCTTCTGAATACCTGACGACTGATGTTAATATCAAATTTTTGGTCAAACGCCAATGAGTTCCAAGTCTTGACTGCTGCAATAGAAAACTTTCTTGCTTCAAAATGAGATGTTTCGAACAAAAGACAAACGATATCTCCGTTTTTTGCCAATCTCGGTCTATTTTTAGGAGCATTCGAAACTAAGAATAACTCCTTTTTCAAGTAGGTTTTTGCTTTTCCAGTTAGATAGTTTTTTTTACCATGAGAACTATTTCAAATCGAATTCGTGTAATCAGGACTGCTTTAAAATTTAGAGACTAGAGCCAATTAATTTAGCTACAGACCTCAAAACAGATTGAATATATTTCAGTTAACTTTTATTCACACCGTACCGAACTGAATTACAGTAATCTATTTGCTTACAAACAAGGCTTGTCAAGGAAGTTCTTGTAGACTCTTCTGAGAGGTAACATCCGATCCTCTTATTTTATGAAGCTGATAAAAGAATCGTTAACAAAAAACGTCATAATACCGTCATTATGTAAGCAAATGTTAAATTAAAAGAGTGAGACTTTTTGAAAATTATTTCAGAACGTTTAATAACAAGCCTAATTAAGACTGTACTGAAATGGAAGAAAAATGGAAAAAAAGAAGGAAATGCCAGAAAACGGAAAGAGGGCATTACGAAGTAGACTAGATGAAGGAGGTGTATTCAGTAAAAATGAGCAAGAATAAAAAATTTATGATATGGACCAGAAAAGATTTGCAATAATATTTGTCTGGTGTCAATCATTTAATGGAAATTAAAAAAAAACTTTTTTTAATGATGTACTTTTATTTTAATTTTTTAATTATTGTATTTTTAGCTGAATCAATATTTTTTCTACCGGGATAAAATTAACAAAAAAACTTTATATAATGCATTTATAACCTCAGCATGGTAGTTCAGACACACAAAAGAAACAACTTGATATATTTCTATCGCGAAGGACTAGCTGGATCAAATAAATTCAACAGTGATTTATGGCGGCTCAACACATTAAAGTTTTTCAGAGAAATTTTCAATGAACAAAATGTAAGACGGTATCATAATTATAAACAGATACCATTTATTGTCATAAAAATTTTCAGGTTACAATTGATTACCTGAAAATTGACATAGAGGGCTGGGAATGGGAGTCCATGGACACAGCCATTAAAGATGGTTCTCTGAAAAAAGTTAAACAGATTGGAATTGAATTCCATAGAACTGGTTCTATTACAAAAAGTTACTATTTAGAAAAATTAAATTTTTTTTCTCGTCTCCACAATGCTGGATTTCGAAAATGGCATACCCACTTGAACGTGCCTTGTGGTACAAGACTCTCAGATCTAACCAAACGTTCAATATATATGTGCCACGAACTTTATTTTATAAATGTATTTTATTAGTATTATCTCTAGTTTTTATTAACAACCAATTTACAAATCATTATCTTGTGACATGTGAATAAGTTTATATTTAAATTTTTTTATGTTAATTAATGCTTTTGAGAGTAAAATAATGAAAGCAATCATATGTAAAGTAATCGGCCAATCATTCGACACATTAGATTTGTTTCACATTCCATTTGTACAGTACAATCAAACTGCAATCCCATTAATCAGTTATTGACAAAAAAATCCACATCACTCAACCAATGTCAGTGCAAACAAAACTATAACATCAGTACGTACATTCACATACATATGCAACATAACAGGATAAATTACTATGTTATTAAGCAAGAAGTAAATTTTTGAATATAAGTTATTGCCAAGGAAACCAAACATGAAGATATATCAATTTTATGAGCCAGGTGTGTGTGTATATATATACATATATATATGTATATATGTGTATATATATATATATTATATATAATATATATATATATTGGATTAAGACTGTCAGAAAGTGGCATGCCCATTTGAACGTGTCTTGAAGTAGAAGTTTATCGGATCAAACAAAACCACGGACTGGAAGCAACATCGTGAACGACTGCGATGATCGACTTAACTTCCAAATTCGTTCTTTTAAATTATTAATTTTGGTTTTGAACTAAAAAAACTTGAAAATGATTTACGATTTACGATCAACCGTAAGAAAAATCGAAAAGTTAAATTGGAAGTTAACAAACCCAGAACATGCTGTGATTTTCATCAATAATTGTAATTTTGACAGTCTTAATCCAATATATATGTATTATATATATATATATATTATATATATATATATATATGTATTAATTTCTTTTGATTTAAAAACGGTATTATTGTCTTGCCAATTGATGCTTGTTTTTTTTATTAGATAGTCATCTTATATATCGGTTGTTTCTATTTATTGTTTTTCATTTCTGACTTTACGTATTATTATGTATTATCATCTACCGTCGGATTATTGATTTATCCATATTTCATTTTGTGTTTAACGTTGAGTTCGCTTTTGAATTTTATTTAATTGGCGTTACATAAACTCTTGTTATGATATATGTGTGTGTGTGTGTGTGTGTGTGTGTGTGTGTGTGTGTGTGTGTGTGTGTGTGTATGTGTTAAGAGTCTTTTCCATAATAACTGATTTATATATGTGTCTTTTTTCTTCACTGGATTTCAAAATGGTTTGATTGTCATGACAGTTGATTTTTTATTTTTGATATTTGTTTATCACCTTATATCAATTGTCTCTGTTTTTTGTGTTTCGTCTTGGGTATTTGATTTTGCTTATTATTATGTATTATCCTTTAACTATTGATTTCTGATATGTTTAATGTGTGAGAGCGCTTTTGAATTTTATCTAATTAGTGCTATATAAATTATTGATATTGATATTGATGTATGTGAGTGTGTGCTAGTGCAAGTGTGCAAGCGTTACAATGACAAAACGAACGTACGTTGTTAATTCTATAATCGCAACTTCCTAACGTAGTGATGTGATGATGACGATGCTGCCAATTAGTTGTTGAAGTTCACCCTGACTGGAAATTTAATTTGTTTTCTTATCTGGTTTATTTGGTAGTAATTTTTTGAATTATTTATTCAATTGTTTACAAATTTCCTTCCCCATAACTAACATACGTATATTCTTTACTTTTTTTTAGCAATTCAAATTAATCTCTACTTATAAGCATTAACATAGTAATTACATATATTAATTAATTAAAAACATCACTCTGTAATTTTATTTTTAATTATCTTTTATCAATCTAAACGATCTTATTACATTCAACTTTTTTTTATTTATTTATTTGTCTTTTCGTAATAAAATACTTTCAGCCAATAAATTTATTCATGATCTTTTGGTGTCCATTTCATTTTCCGATTTTCCAAATCATTGTACTTAATATTTTGATTAATTATCTTTCACCATCCAATGCCATTTAAAAATTTTTCATGTTCTTAATATTTTTAAATGCATCTTTCGTGCTGTCTAATACTTTATGTTATGTTATTTGTTCAATTTGTTAATTTGTTGATAATAGAATTATCCAAGTTCATCATGGAAATTCAATGAAACTGTTGTTATCCAAATTCTTCTTGCAAATAAGGCCTTATTTCGATTTTTTTTTATACAAATCATTTTCAATGTAGGTTTGGTTTAACCAATTTCTTAAAACAAAAGCAAAAATCTTTAGCAAATTTTACTTGTGGGTATCGTATGGTCATTTCTTTGTTCTTCGTTGTTGTTGAAGTTAGTATTAAGGCGTCGTTGGTAATGATGTTATCATTATTTGTTGGATGTTTATTTGTTGGATGTTTATTTGGTGTTTATTGATATCTATTAGGACAGCTTCTGCAATGAAGATGATTTATAAAAAATCGAAGTATGGCCTTATCTGCATGATGAATTTGGATAACAAAAACTTCATTGAATTTTCATGGTGATTTATCTTGAATAATTCTATTTTCAACAAATTAAACAATTTCCAAAAGATTCTAGTAAGGAAAATTGAAAAGCCGAACAATAAATTGAGTAAAATTGGTTAATGCCAACAATTCGGTAAAATTCATACAATACTGCATGAAATATGGTCTCTTTCCAACCTATATTATATATAACTATATGCTATATATATATATATATATATATATATATATATATATTCTGTTAAAAAAGTTATATTATAGTTTTGTTGTTTGTGATACTGTATGTGCATGGTTCCAGTCTTATTTACTAGATCGTACCCAGAAGGTTTTGTTTAGAGAAATTTTATCAGAAATAAATTTTGTTTCGTCAGGAGTACCTCAAAGTTCAGTGTTAGGGCCCATTCGGTTCTTGCTATACACGTCGGGCAAGCCAGGATGATTAATTCACATGGATTCACCTGCCACGCGTTCGCTGATGACGTTCAGATGATTGTGACTGGTCGGCCGCAAGTGTTTCATAGAGAGATTGATAGGTTTGTCAGATGTTTGACCAATGTTGAACACTGGATGTCCAGCAATTCGCTCAGGTTGAATCAGTATAAAACCCAGTTGATCCCGGTTGGCACTTGGCAGCAGATGTCAAAACTGGATATGCGCTTTGTGGAAGTAAACAACATTAATATATTGTTTGGCACGACTGCATCTAATTTGGGAGTTTTGGTTGATTCTAATCTCACAATGAAAGAGCATATAAAAAACGTATCAGTTGCTAGTATGGCTCACATCAAGGGCTTGTACAGAGTCAGACGTTGTTTAGACAGGAGTAGCATGGAAACATTAATACACGCTCTCATAACATTAATCGTTTGCAAATAGGATTGCGACGGATGATAAACGATATATAAACTATATATCGACTATAGAAAGTTATACTAAAATAGAATTTCAATATGAGATCGGCCCGATACGTTCATTGTATGGCGTCCTCTCTAACTTACGTGTTGCTTTGATTCTACAACGTTAAAAATAATAATTGGGTCAATTTTCTGTTGATTTTTATTTAAAAATTTGTTTTGTTACTTAACAGTAAGCGTAAACTTTCTCACAAAGGAAAGAATTTCTGTTTATCTGTGAACAATGAAACTCATGCAAATATAAAATTGAATTGATTAGAAGTAAATAATCGTAATTATAAAATAAGTTGTTTATAAAATAATTTTTCAAAAAAGCTGTTTGATGTAAATATTGTAATGTTTTGAACGTTCATAAAATAAATCAATAAATCACGAGTTATATTTTTTTACCGTAACAGCAATACACATGTAATGCGTGTAGTAAACAAGCCACTACAAACAATAATCTAAAAAAGGTAAAACCTGGTTACGTGATGAACATCAACACCTAGGCATGTTGATGCTAAATCAATTGATAATCACATAGTAGTAAGTGGTAGTAGTAGTAGTAGTAGTAGTAGTAGTAGTTGTTGTTGTTGTTGTTGTTGTTGTTGTAGCAGTAGTAGTAGCAGCAGCAGTAGTAGTAGTAGTAGTAATAATAGTAGTAGTAGTAGTAGTAGCATTAGTAGTGGTAATGATGTTTTGGAGGTTATCCAGAGAGCAGGCTGTTGGGCATGCTAGCACAGCTGATTCGTTGATTGATTGTTGTTCATCCAACAATCAATGCCTGCTTTAAATTTGTTCATTGATTGTGCTTCAACAAAGTTCATTTGGTAATGAGTTCGAAGTATGTGCGACTCTATTGAAAAAGTAATTCTTTCCGCCTCTATGTCTTGTTAACTCTTTAAAACATGTCAAACTGCAATCTCGCGTTTTGGCTTTGAAAGATTATAGGTACAGCTAGAAATAAAAGCAATGAATAGCATACGATGTTTGATTACATTTCAGTTTATATTTGCGTGGCTCTCGACAAAGTTTGCATTTGAAGTGCACTCGAGTTTTATCAAGATTTGTGACAAAGCTTCACGTTTAATAAATTTTTTCAATACTATATTTTGATCTTACTCCTTTTATCAATTTTTTTAATTTTAGTTCAAACAAATGTCTGTGGAAATGATGGATGGAAAAAAATTTGTGATATTTATTTGCATGCTGTTTGTAATTATAATTGCCTTCGTCCATTTCTATGGAAATAAATGGAGTACTTATACGAACTTTGGCTTTTATGTTGGCCAGAAACAGAATTCGAGCAATAATTTATTCAATTACTCTGATTACTCCGACTTTCATCTGGAAGATCTTTACAACAGGTGATCAAAATATTTAACTATTTAATGTCCAAAGATGTTGATCTTTTTTAAATTAAATTCAATTCGAGTAGATACGTGAGTGAGAATGACGTCACATGTAACTCGTCAGAGAGAGTGGGCAACGTTGGAGATGGGGGTTGGGATGTTTGTCTTCGAGGTCAGTACAATCTAGTCTCCCCATGTCTTGTCTATTCTTTTGGGTTAATTTTTTCATATTCAAATTTCAATACCATTCATAATATTTTTATTGAATTACAAAGAATAATGAGAAAAGATTTTATTCTAGTAATTTGAAAAGGCTGCATGCTGTAGTTTAAAAGCGATTTAGCACTAGCAGACTACTTCTGCGTCTTTGGACTTTTTTAATTTCGTTTCTTGTCTGTTGCAGTTAGTTTTGTTTTATCGTTTGTGTTGGCTATCATATGCTGTTGTAAAATGTGATACCTCTCTAACTATGAGTTTATTCATAAAATTTGACTTCCACTGTATGTTTGATATTTTATTAATGTGTGTTGATTTGAAAGTTTTGTACAACAGACTTCTTTGTAACGGTAGTTGCGTTTTATTGAAAAGCTATAGGAGTGAGTTAATTTAGAATAGCCAGTTTGCTGTTTTGACTTGTGTTGTTTGTTTCAACCAGGTTAATCTAATTAACTCAAACAGTAAGCACAAGATTTTCTATTCTTAAAAACTCATCCTTAGATCCTTCCTCTTTACCTAATTATAGACCTGTTACTAATAATACTTTCATTTCTAAAATAATTGAAAAAGTCGTTTATAATCAAATGTCATTTTATTTTAACTCTAAATCCTTGCTACCAGTATTTCAATCTGGTTTCAGACCTGCTCACAGTACTGAAGCTTTTTTACTCAAACAACATAACGATATCTTTCTCTCTTGTGGCAATAGTAATCTTACTCTTGATTTTTTTTCTGCTTTTGATACTGTTGATCATACTATTTTCTTGAGGCTGTAAGATCTTTCTTTTAATATTACTGATTCTTGTCTATCTTGGTTTTCATCGATGGCTAACGGGTAAATGTCATTGAAGGTCTGTATTATTATTTTAAAATTTGGTTTGCTAGCTCTAGTAAGCATCGAACGATTTCCACATTTTAATTATTTTTAACTTTATTACCAGGCAGACTTCGTACTGCCTCAATCGATAAATAAGACCTAAACTTTTGTATAAAATAATTTTAAAAGAAACAAAACAAATCCGTATTTAATAAAAAGAGCTAATTTTGAATGAAGCATAAAGTTTTATTATTATTTTCGACACATCATGTCGCTTACTTACAAAATAGAGTTTTCCGGAAAATTTAGCTATTTATAATGTTCAAATTTGATATTGACAGACACACACTGCTATGAAACAGTTTGTTAATCAATTTAAAACTTTCTCATAAACTAAATTTCTTGTATTGTTTTGTGGTGTGTAAATAAACAACGAAGAGTGAAGACGGTCCTTACGATTTATTTATGGTCATTGCAAAAGCCAGACGTACTGGAAATTGTAAGCGTTAAAAATGGAGCGGTAAATCAGTTGGAGTCACCGGTATTCGCGGGATTAAGACATCCTCTCTTTTGTGTTTTCTTTTTATGATTGTTGCTTCAATGATGTTATTTATCAGTTTTTTTCACAGCACAGCAAATCTTGTTCCATTACATTCGAGGTTGATTAATGTTACGCAGCATGTTGACAACTGACACTATTTTAACTGCAAATTGTAAGGTGGTAATCCAGACAATTTTAGTGAATTTAAAAACTCTGTGGGATAGTTGACTACGTCATCCTGGTTCATAACGGTGTCGACTGATTTAAAGGAAACCAACTGTCCTGGAAGAAAATTCTAAATGATCGCATTGAGATCCTCGACATCTTTATTTTTCACCGCCAATATTGATCGTTCCCTCAACCAATTATGGTTATTAAACTTTTGGGCTATATCTGGGTAAACACGCTTTTTTGAGTCTGTGATGTAACAGAAATCTATGGGTAACGTGATGAATTCGGTCGAGTTGTCCATTGCAATTTTGTTATTTCCAATGTCTAACAGTTAGAGTGTTTTTTAATACTGCTACAGATTTGATGATTTTAAGCATGCATTTAGTTCATCATCTACAGTTGATCGGGGAATAACTGGAACTCTGAAAAAAAACCACCTGACAACAGAATCATAGCCCCGCAAAAAATATTTTGGTTGTTATAAAGATCTTTCAAACGTTCTGTCCAGTGTTTCCAGTGACCTCTTATAGGCCATTGTGCATTCATCCCAAGCAATTAATTTGCATACCTGTAGGATCTTGGCTATTGGGCTATTTTTGGCGATGTTGCAAATTGGTTTTTCAGTGATTGTTTAATGGTAATTTAAAGGCAGAATGTGCAGTTCGCCCGTTTTTTTGCAGAGTCGCAGCCAAAGCCAACGCTAGAGCAACATCATTTCGGGATCTGATTCTCGCCAAAAGCAATGAAATTAAGAATGTTTTTCCGGTTTCTCCGGGAGCATCAAGGAAATAAATTCTACCAGATCATCTGTTCACAGCTTCTATCAAAATGTTGTACGCAATTTTTTTTGTTGATTTAATTGTGAAATATTTGTACGAACTGTTTCGGCCAATGCTTTAATGTCGTACTGTTGTTCTCTTTGCAACTCGTGGCTAAATGCATCGTGCATATGACGATTTGGTGCTGTCATTCACAAACACGACACTACTTTATTTACCATCAATAATGATGGTTATGATCAATGTCTCATTGTAAATTTCTGCAGTTATTTGTAGTGTAGGATTCAAGGTTTGACGGCGCACACGACATGAGCCACTTCGTCAATGTTAGATGAATTAAACCTCCTTGTGTGTTCACCGGCAGGTGTTTTGTCGGCTCGAATGATAATATTATGGATATCAAATAGCATCCAATTGCTATTTTAAACATTTTTACGAAATTGTTATTTTGATGAAAAAATATTTGTAATTCATGGACAATAGATCTCTTCATTGTTGGATTGTGGGCACAACGATTATCAACTTTCGCATCTGAATCGAACATTTGATTGACTGCCACGACCTAAGTCAGATTGTCTTCTCCTCGGCATCGTAAATTGTAAATAATCAAACTTTCTCGCTCACTTAGGTGTAAAGTGTCACAATAGCAAAATATCCAAAAAAAAGAGCACCATACTCTAAATGTCACTATCACAAAAAATCAATGAAGTAAAAAAAGTTCTCGTATATATAGATATCGTAACAAAATATCTGCTGTTTTTAGGGTTTTTCCGACAATTAATCAAATTTTTCTTATCTTTTAAACCTTTGCTAGACCTCCACGAACAATTCAAGACCAAGATAAGATAAATCCGTTCAGCCGTTCTCGAGTTTTAGCGAGACTAACGAGCAGCAATTGATTATATATATATATATATATATATATATATATATATATATAAAGTTACATTTTTAATAAATTTTGCAAGCAAATACTTTCAGTAAAAACACATTATATTTTTAATTGTTCCCTCAGATATACCTTATGATGGTCTTAATTAAAACAATTTATATCAGCCTAAAAAATTTTGATCAAGAAAACATAAATTAATAGACGAAATATGCTTACATGTTATAAAATAAAGTATTTATTTAATTAACACAGCATCAACAACGAATGGTCGTTTGATGACGGTATTGTACGATCATTCAAATGTTTGGTACGTGCCTTCGATCCCAGGTCGGTTTTGGTTAATTTTTTAAAAATTGAATTACATTAAAGAAAGTAAAGATAAATTAACAACATATATCTTGAGTAATAAATAAATATCTTTATATATAGATATATATATATTCGTTTTGTTAAAAAATGATGCTTAGACAGGCTTTTAAAACCTAACGACTGATGTCAGTATCAACTTTTAGGTCAAATGGTTATGAGTTCCAAGTCTTGGCTGCTGCAAAAGAAGACCCTTTAGCAACAAAATGAGATGTTTTGAACGGAGGACAAACGAGATCTCCGTCTCTGCTAAACTCAGTCTATTTTTTAAGAGCATCCGAAACAAAGATTAACATCTTTTTCAAGTAGGCTGGTGTTTTTCCTGTTAGACAGTTCTTTTTACCATGAGAACGATTTCAAATCGTATTCATTTAATCAGGACTGCTGCTGTAAAATTTAGAGACTCGAGCAATTAATCTAGCGGCACGCCTCAAAACCGATTGAATGTACATCAGTTAACTTTTATTGAATGAGAGTAATCGATCTACGTACAAACAAGGCTGGTCACCAGAATTTTTGTAGACTCTTCTGAGAGGTAACATCTGATCGCTCTTATTTTATGAAGCTGGTAAAATAATCGTTAACAGAAACATTAAACATGATTATTCATAGAATGGCCTGAGTCGAGAACGACGCCTAGATCAACAACTTTTTTTTGAAATAATCCACATTTTGCAATCTGCGCTGACTACCAAACCATATGTGCTGCTAGCTTATTTTTTCTGCTAAGGAATAACAAGCTCGTATTTTGTTATCTGAACCTATCGGAATCCATCATTGATACACCGTCCCTTGATTAACAACAAACTGAACCAGCATAAATTATATTGTAAAACAGTCATAATATTTTACATCCTGACCGTCATTAGTATGCCAATGTTAAATGAAAAAAATGAAACTTTTTGGTAATTATTTTAGAATGGTTAATATCAGCCAAATTAAGACTGTACTGAAGTGGAAGAAAAATGGAAAAAAGAAGGATGTGCCAGAAAACGGAAAGAGGACCTTACGGAGTAGACTGGATAAAGGTGTATTCAGTAAAAATGAACAAGAATAAAAAATTTATGATATGGACCAGAAAAGATTTGCAACAATATTTTTCTGGTGTCAATCATTTAATGGAAATTAAAAAAAAATAATTTCTTTAATGAAAAATTTATATGAATTTTTTAATTATTTTAATTTTAACTGTATTAACGTTTTTTTACTGTAATAAAATTAAAAAAATAACTTTTTTTATGCATTTCCAACCTCAGCATGAAAGTTCAGACACACAAAAGAAACAACTCGATATATTTCTATCGCGAGGGACTAGCTGGATCAAATAAATTCAACATTTATTTATGGCGGCTCAACACATTAAAGTCTTTCAGAGAAATTTTCAATGAAAAAAATGTAAGACGGTATCATAATTATAAACAGATATCATTTATTCTCATAAAAATTTTTTAGGTTACAATTGATTACCTGAAAATTGACATAGAGAGCTGGGAATGGGAGTCCATGGACACAGCCCTTAATGATGGTTCTCTGAAAAAAGTTAAACAGATTGGAATTGAATTCCATAGAACTGGTTCCATTACAAAAAGTTACTATTTAGAAAAATTAAATTTTTTCTCTCGTCTCCACAATGCTGGATTTCGAAAATGGCATACCCACTTGAACGTGCCTTGTGGTACAAGACTCTCAGATCTAACCAAACGTTCAATATATATATGCCACGAACTTTATTTTATAAATGTATTTTATTAGTACTATCTCTAGTTTTTATTAACAACCAATTTACAAATCATTTTCTTTGGGAATATGAATACATTTCAAATAAAATTGTATTTATTAGTACAAAAAAATAATCATGTGAGTGAAATAATAAAAGAAGTCATAATGAAGTAATCAGCCAATTGTTCAAAACACATTGATACACATTCCTTTCGTACGTTACAATCTATGTAATACTAATTCAATTCACGCTACGATAAATTTACATATAATTCAAGTGTGGCAAACATAGATTTATCCTCGTACTAGCCGTCAAAAAGAAACACTAGTATTTAATTTTCGTGCATGTTGTATCCAAAAATTGAAAACTTTTCGCTAGAATTGTTTAAAAAAAGCTGCTGTAACATAAATGCAGCCAAAATTCTCAGTTTTCCAATCGATCAAAACGAAAGAAGCCAGAAAAAAAAAATGTTTGCGTAATTGCATCGACAGGCTTGGTGTGACTACCGCAAATAAAGCATCCTACTCTTAAGCACCCCCCCCCCATTAATTTATACATCGCTGTTAGTACATTTCCAGAAATGTACTAATAGCGAAATGTACCCCGCATTAATTTATACATCGCTATTAGTACATTTCCAGAAATGTACTAATAGCGAAATGTACCCCGCATTAATTTATACATCGCTATTAGTACATTTCCAGAAATGTACTTAATCGGACCACCCTGTCTGAGAAACAGAGTGTCATAAGTGAAAAATAAAAAATAAATGCAGCGGATAGGAAACTTTAAAAAATAATTCGCATGAAGTAAACAAAACAAGAAATGATGTAGTTAAAAAACTAATTCGATTGAACGTGATAATAGTCTGCAAATTGTCAATCTAAAATAACTCATTCATAACTTTTCAATAAAACGCAACCACCACTTATTAAAAAAAATTTGAACAAAACTATCGATTCAACACATACTGAAATAAAATCAAGCATAGAGTTGAAACAGGAAAATTTCCCAATGCCCACCAGAGATCCACTCAATTTTTTTGAATAGACACATAATTAACCTGATATCATAAACATGGATATATATAATAATATATAATATATATAATAATGATATATAACAATAATATATCATATCTATGATCATAAAATATAAAACAACATATGACATTAACTAAAAGTTAACTTAACTTAAAAGTAAAAGATAAATACTGCTGACGTTATGATATTCAAAATTTGTTTTCTATCTATGGTAGCAACCGTTGTTTTATGTCGGCGGTTGACATTGGTGACGACACAAATTTAAACGGCTTTGTTATTTGTATAAAAATATATATATAAATGTTTTATATGTCGATAAAAATAATATAAAAGGTGAACATATAAGAAGAAAAAATTAACAGTTAGCTTAGTCTGTTTTGTGTAAAATGTAATGTTTTTGGATATCTTTTTTAATTCTAATAAATTCTATGCTTTATTTTAAAATAATATTAAATTTTTATAAATGTTGCCTTAAAATATTTTTAGTTTAAATAATTTTTAACAATTCGGGTAAAATACCGACAATATTATTTTTGATCTTTGTACAAAAGCATTTTTTGAGATATTTTTCGATGTTTTTTCTTCAATTTAAAATTTAAATTTTATTCAACTCATAGGCCGAGGCAAGCAGACTTGCCTGTAAAGCCAAGCAACAATTTAGAAAATTGTTTCCAAAAGACTACGTCACTGTTTCACGCTGTTACCAAGTGATTTGAAGTTGCTTTGACTTGTTCAAACTTAGCTCATTTTTATAAAAACTAAGATCTGGAACAGCTCGGTTCGAGAGTAGAAAAATCGTGAGCTCTCAAATTCAAAATTTTGAAAAAAATGAAGAAAAACAATTAGATGCATTTATTTTCAAAAATTTTTTTTGACAAATGAGTTTAAAAATGCAATAAAATTTTATTTCAATATTTTTAAAAATGTCATCCAAATAAAAACAAACACATAATTTTACGTCTACAAAATCAAATAAAATTAACCTCGTCAAAACCAAATCTAATGAAATAAAATTGAAGAAAAAAAACACAAAAGCACATACAAGGGAGTAATCATAATTATAGTAACAAAATATATTTAGAAAACAGATAATTATTGAAAAAAAGTGAAAACGGCTGCAGAATTATCAAATAGGAAAAATTTAAAGCTCTAAATATGATAAATCAGCATTCCGTTTCGTGAGATGCAACCAAAATCAATCTCCACCCCACCTCTAGCTCAAACAAACGATACCAAAATTTAGCGCTTTCTTAATCTACCCCTGATCCGTTTGTTGATTCACTTTTATTACAGTCCAGACGTGCAAGGCCGTAGAATCCCCATACTCTCGACAAAAATTTACTTTAGAAACCTTTCCGAGCATATCGCGTTTGAGGCAGCACGCCTTTTTCAAGTAAATTTCAAAACTACTCACAGTAAAGAGTCCATTGTCATTTTTAAAATTTAACTTGCATTAAGAAATCTATGTAGCCATTTGACTATTATCTTAATTATAACAAAACTTTACTTTTAACGAATTTGTTTAAAATAATTGATTTTACTCCTTTTGTAATTTTATTTTGAAATATTTTTTTAATAAAATTCAAGATATACGTTCTTCAAAATGATGGATAGAAGAAAATTTGTGCTTTTTATCATCATGCTGTTTGTAATTTTAACGACTTTCAACTCTCTGTTTCTAGGTAAAAAAGTCTTTTTAATTTATAGTCAAAACGTGAGAAAAAAATTCTTCACCTACTTTGATCAATCGAACATTCATCTGGAAGATCTTTACAACAAGTGATCGAAATATTTAACTAATTAAAACTAAGATTATTCAAAGATGTCGATTTTTTTAACTAAATTCGATTCGGGTAGATACGTGACGGACGAAGATGTCATATGTAACTCGTCAGAGAGAGTGGGCAACATTGAAGATGGGGGTTGGGATGTTTGTCTTCATGGTCAGTACAACCTTTCCTCCCCATGTCTTGTATATTCTTTTGGGTTAATTTTTTACATTTAATTTTCTAAATATATTGAAATATATTTTATAAAATAAATATAAATTAATCCAAAAATATTTGAACTCATTGGCGGATCTAGACAACTTTGACGAGGCGAGACCAAAATTTATAAATTACTCAATTTTGACGAGGGGTCAAAATTTGTGGTGGGGTAATCAAACATAAAACGGTCATCGGACTTTAAATGAAAATACCCATTAGAAAAATTTAGAGATTTTAGAATCAGATAAAATAATAGAATGAATTATAGATTTTATTGACTATATTAATTCAAACTTAGAAGGATTTAGTTTAAGATACTTAGAGTCACACCGTGCGATAATTGAAGAAAGACATAGAGATAAATTACGAAGAGCACTGTAAAGATTAAATGAATGAAAAGAAGTATAAATATAAAAATCGTCTGGATATGGTTGATTAGTAGAAGAAAATTTTTTAATAATAGAAGGTAGTTCAAAGGTGTAGAGTATAAATAGAAGGGGACCAAGGATAGATCCTTGAGGTACACCAAAAGTGAGAATAGACGAGTTAGAAATATTATTATTAAGAACAAAAAAAGAAAAACGATTACAGAGATAAGAAGAAAACCAAGATAGACAAGAATCAGTAACATTGAAATAATCATCTAGCAGTTTCATGTAAATGGTATAATCAACAGTATCAAAAGCAGAAAAAAGTCAAGAGCAAGAAGAAGAGTAGGATTTCTAATGTCACTAGAGTAAAGGATATCATTGTGTGATTGTACTCTTCATTGTTTGTCAACTATGCTTTAAACACATTCATCAGATGGAGAAGACAGAAACAAACAAATACAAAGAATCTCTAACCTCCTAATCAATAATGGCTATAAAAGATTGTTAATAGAAAAAGTTATCCAAAGAAAAGAGAATAAGAAAAATAACAACAACAAAAATAGCAATGCAAACAAAAAACAATTATCTTATACAACAAAGACCACATGTCGACTGCGTTTAAACAGGGTTATGAAATTATGAAAAGACTTATTAGAAACAATGTCAAAACATTTAATGAACAAGAAACCTGGGATCTATTACACCAACCATTAAACTTCATTTATAAATATGAAAACAACAGCTGCACCAGCACCAAAACTCTTATAAAATATATACATATATCTTACTTATCCCTACCTAATTTTATTGTATTGAACGTTCACACTCTAATTCATTCTTCAACGCCATCCACCCATTTCCCAGTTTCCACCCATTTCCCTTCAACGCCATCCACCCATTTCCCAATTTTTCCAATTTCTCACTCTTATTGGCTCAGTTCTAAAGCCATTCTACAGTCAAACAAAGATATAATAAATGGACAGGACAAAGCAGAATCAAAGCACTTTGCAAAGTACAGAGTAGAATGAAAGAACTTTGCACACAAACAAAGAATTGTAAAACCTTGAAATATTCCTATTTAAGCGCTGAAGATGTGTAAAATCGAAATGTGGCCCATATACGCTTCACCATGAACACCAAAGATTTTCTAGTTAATTATAATAAATTGGATAATAATTACAAAATTATTGTTAGAAATATTGAAAAGCTCAATCGTAAACTTTCAAAAGCTAAAAATTCGGTAGATGCAGTGTTTATATATATATATATATATATATATATATATATATATATATATATATATATATTTAGGGCTGAGACAGTCGTACATACAATTATTAAGAAATATAGTAGTATTTATTTTGTTGTATTATATGTATAATTTGTATATATATATATATATATATAGTATGTTACGTTAAAAAAAAATATTTAACGACATATGATTAACTACCATGATGAACTTTATAAAGTTCTTAAAACTTAAAAGTTAAAACTTTTTGACTTACGCAGCATCAAGAACGATTGGTCGTTTGACGATGGTATTGCAGAATCATTCAATTGTTTGGTACGTGCCTTCGATCCAAGGTCAGGTTTTGATAAATTATTTAAAATTAAATTAAAATAAGTAAAGTCTATATCAAATAATGTTAATAGCAGACTACACTGACAAAAATTAATTTAATTTATGATTTTTAAATCAATACTCAACAAATTGTTTAGTAAATTATTTTTTTAATGGTAAATTCATTTATGCAATCGTTTTTTGTTTTGAATGTTCATTGTCATTGAGTAGAAAAATGTAACATTGCATATACGAAATGGTCTAACTAAAAAAACTGGAACTCTTCGTAACTGTAGAATGGCTTTAGAACTAAGACGATGAAGGAGAAAAATTGGATAAGAAATAATTTTGGTAATCAATAAAAAGTGGTGGATACTTTTCGCTTGAACGATTCAATAAGGAATTAAAAACTATCTGAATTTAATTTTTTCCACTTTTTAAATTTTTATTTATTGCATTGAATTTTTAAATTTTTTAAATTTTTATTCTTTAACCTCAGCATAAAAATGCAGACCCACAAAAGAAACAATTCGATATATTTCTATAGTGAAGGACTAGCTGGATCAAATGATTCCAACAGCGATATTGGGCAGCTCAACACATTAAAGTCATTCAGAGAAACTTTCGATGAACAAAATGTAAGACAGCCTTATGGTCATGAACAGATATCATTTGTTTTCTTAAAAATTTTCAGGTTACAATTGATTACCTGAAAATTGACATAGAGGGCTGGGAATGGGAGTCCATGGACACAGCCCTTAATGATGGTTCTCTGAAAAAAGTTAAACAGATTGGAATTGAATTCCATAGAATTGGTTACATTGCAAAAAGTTACTATTTAGAAAAATTAAATTTTTTTTCTCGTCTCCACAATGCTGGATTTCGAAAGTGGCATACCCACTTGAACGTGCCTTGTGGTACAAGACTCTCAGATCTAACCAAACGTCCAATATTCATATGCCACGAACTGTATTTTATAAATATTCATTATTAACATTACATATTAAATTTCTAAAAGTAGTTCTATTCGTATAAAAATATCTCGAGAATAAAATAACATGAGCAATTATTTAAATGTAGTCTTTCGAATGTTCAACACATTTAACAAGTCTTACAGTTTGAGGTGTTTTTTTTAAATAATTAGCAACTAGCGAGTAAAAAAATAAATGTGATATATGAGCCGGGTTTTGAATAATTCTGTTTTTCTTTGATTTAACTAATGTTATGTTGTGTTGTTTATCTATTATTATACGTCATGTTATGTCATGTTACGTTCAGTTTATGCTGAATGTGAAATGTTCGTTTAACGGAAGTTCAGAAAAATTTATTTTTTGTTATGAATCGATATTTCAATATTTTTATTAAAAACAAAACTTATTTCATGGAGAGGAAGATACATAACAATTTGAAAACAATTTAATATTCCAATTGTCCAAAATTTTTACAAACTTGGCTGAAAATTTATTTTGTAAAATGTTTTTCAATATTTTAAAATTAGTTAGCCCGCAAAAGGCATAGGATGACACAATTTTTGTAATCGCCAGAAGCTGCGGATTCAGATTTTTAGAGTTATAAAGTTGATCTTTTTATTTTTTGCTAATTCTCGTAATTCCAATTTATTTCCGATTTGGTTGAGATGATTTTCACAATTCTTAGTTTATGAACTTTGGCCATTTTTTTTCTAATTTCCATTTAATTTCGGATCGTACCGAAGAGTTTGAACAGCGCCTCTCATAAGTTAACATCACTCAATCACTGTGTCATACAGAGATTCTTCAATATTTTCTTCTTTCATGGTCTGGTGGGGGAAAGCAGGGATATGCAATCACGCAATTCAAAATTCACGCAATCTCCATAGTATAAATGTCAAATCGCATGATCAACACACGAGAACACTGGCTGCACGTCAAAAAGCATTAAATTAATTTCACACTAACATCGTATCAAACATCCATTTTCACTCACTTCACACATGGTAAACCTATCAAATTTTAGATACATTAAACACGAACATACATAGAAATTCTACACCTGACTTTTTTTTTTATTAAATTGCACTAAGTAAAAAATTTACAACATGCAATCCAATCACTTTAGACATTGATCTACGGAATGATCAGATAGCATACCAAAACAGTAAAAGATAACAATTTCATTTCTATAATAACAGTTATTTTTAATATAAATTCAAGAAGCAGGTCGCACCGGATACACACACATTTTCAGCAAAACACCCTGAGTCATCTAGCAAACATGCAAATAATACTCAGCGCACCTGTTGGATAACTTACGACACACGCCTTGGTAGATGAAGAGATAAAATTATATACAGTGAGATTAACAAGTGAGCCATCAAACAACCTGGACAAACTTTCGTGAAGCATGCTGATTGCTAGAATCATTTTGATGATTTGATGAAATCATACAAAAGTTTTCCAACTCCATCAAAGTGAAAGTAAAATACATTTACCCAACAATATCCTCTGCGTATTTGTTGAGGATTACATCGCCATAAATTGAGATTATTGTATAAATATAATCGCGATTTAAAACATCTTGATTAATAGAAATTTTTATAAACTTTTATAAAATATTTTCAACATTATTATATATTCAAATCTATAAGTTTTTAACATTAAAATTAATTATTGACGGTTTTACTCGAATACAATATATATTTTCAAATTTTTTCCAATATCCCTGTATTAAATATTTTTAGACATTAAAATTTATAATAAGCAGTAGACTTATAAATTAAACTGCACACACTATACAGTGTTGCACACACACAACGGAAACACACACACATCGGCCCCAGGACGTCAATTCATAAAAATCACCTTACATTCCGGTACTATGATGCTAGTGAGACTTCCACTCTAAAAATAAAACGCTCGCATAAACACACACACATAAACACACACACTACACACGCACACACACCCGCAGCAAGTTTCGTGTCGCATAATAAACTTCACAGACAATTTGTTTAATCACGACCAAACCTAACGTCATACAAATCGCGAATTAACGACTGTGGTGAATATTTAATTAAAAGTTATTTTAAAATTCTTAATGTAGATAAAACTTTTAAAAAAATTTTAATAATGAAATAGAATTCTTAAAATCAAATTTTCAATTTAAAATAATACTTTCACTTCCACAAAAAATTGTTTTCATTGCACTCAATTTAACAAAAATAATAGTGTGAGTGCGATAAAAATTTCAAACAATTTCACTGATGAAAATTTTAAGTTTAAAAAATTTTCACAAAAGTTTTATGTCACAGCACTATGTATGTCTGTATTAGACGATATAGCAGCCCATGAAGGCCTTTTAGCACGTATGATGGACTTTACAAATTTATACGCTTGCCACAAAGACTCGCAAATTCAACATTTCCATTTCAATTACTCACCCAATCTTTCAAACAGTTCTCAAACAGCTTACAAATACTACATAGCATGACATAAATAACAATAGAAAAAATTCAAAATTAGGTTATAAAATTCGAGAAGATTAAAATGCATTTAAAAACCCAAAATAAAATTCAAATATACATAGAATAAAATTATAAGTGTAAAAATTACCGTAAAATGTGGAACAAGATGACAACTCAGCAACTATCTACCAACATTACTAATGGCCATGTTTGTACACAGTCAGTTATCGACGCCTGAAACATTATTCAACACGTCAGCACACAAAAATCTCCCAAAACACGACTTCAGTTCTAAAATCGTCGCCCCGTATCATATGCCAACATATTCCAACACACCAACATCTAACACCTAACACCTTAACTAACTGTGGAAAGGCATGCGATAACATGCATTTTTTCATTTTTAAAACTATATTATATATATATATATATATATATAGAGAGAGAGAGAAAGAGAGAGAGAGAGAGAGAAGAGAGAGAGAGAAACAAAGATAGAAAGAAAAAAGACAGAGATAATAAACAACTGAAAACAAAACAAAAACTATGCCAAAAACTGACTTAAATTTCTTGGTGTTTATGTATAAAATCAATCAATTTTTCATTTCCAACACTTCAATGAATCAAGTGCCTCAAAAATTTATAAAGGGACAAAAATAAATAGCTAAAAAATAAACAAATAATAATAATAACAAATAATAAAATAAACAAATGATGATGCTTGTTATCAGAGTAACACACAGCCGGTTGGATGAAGTTACATGCATCACCCCATGTACTACAAATCTTATCGTTCATGCGCAGTGGAGAAAAATTTTGTCAATCCGTCAACATTTGATATAATTTTAATTCAAATTTTTAACTTTTCATAACTAATTTTTTAAAATGAAACTGAAATTATTCGGTGAGTGATTTGATTAAATGAAATTGACGCAGCCATGGAAGGCATCATCGTTGTTCTCGGATGAAAACGGTACACAATTAAGTAACGCCAACACACTTGAACCTCTCGTTAGTTATACTAGTGGCTCTCACCTTATTGCAATCAGTCAAAAATCTGCGACTTGTGGAGAAGAACAATTCACAGTTACAGCTATCACCAATGAAAGCAGCACTATTTACAAACCGATGTTTTAGAAAGCTCTTTTGAGCGATAGAAAAACAAATTTTCATTATTTAAATGACGTATCAATAGCATGAGTTATTTCTGTAAATTTTACAATTTCTCAGGTCATCACCGGACACAGAATAAAAGTAAAACTTACCAGTTTAGTACAACATCTTGCGTATAAAAATTGAAACGAATCCATTTCTAATTTTACAAATCTTAAAATATTTAAAATGAAATTTTTTTACTCAAACAATAATTAGATAACAAAAACATTGTAAAAAAAGAAGTTGTTTTCAAAAAATAAAATTAATAACTGCATTGTAGAGTGTCAACATTTTTTGAAGACCTTCCAACCAGTGGAATAAACAAGTGGATTGATCATGGAGCTGATGTTTGGCAACAACTTCAGTAGAACCAACGTGAACATCATATTTCTCTCAATTTTGTATCCCAAACTGAAGTAGAGGTGCATGAAAAATAATGGCCCGTGGAAAATAATGAAACAGAATGTCACTGCGATCATCATACGTGCAAGAGTTCGTCGTCGATCGACAGTTTTTAATGTGCTGCCTGTTGATAGCTTTGATGAATGTCTTTGTACATTACAATTTTTCACCTTTTGAATGTTCTTCTCTTTATATTTTGGACTTTCAGACAACGGCGATAAATTAATCGAACTTGTTTCGCCGGTTATTTTCAATTCGTGAAATTTTAAAGAAATATCTGGCCCTCGCATTGTATTACTTTTAAAATTGTTAATCGTCTTATTTAAACAAGCAACAACTTTCACATAAGCTATGGAAACTATTAAAACAGGCAAGACATAATAAAGTAGGGTAACGATAATTACATAAAATTGTGCTCCAGTACCTTCATTGGAATAAAAAAAATTCAATGAACACACGTGAACTACCGTTCCGTATGAGAAAGTAATCTTCACTGTATTTGAGTAGAGCAATGTGAACGGCAATGAAACCACCAGCGAACTAAGCCAAATAAAAATTATTGCCGTAAGGACCACTTTTCTTCTGAGCCAGATTCTGGCATAGAGAGGGAAACAGATAAGAACCAACCTTTCTAGGCTGATTGCGACCACGGAATGGAACCCGACAAGAGCCAGGTACAAAGTGAAGAAGTTCAAAAATCTGCAGCAATCAGTACTACTACACTGGTTGTACTGATATTTGGACAAGTAAAACTCCGTGACCCTGACGGGAGCGACTACTGTCGACTTGATGAAATCGCAAACTGCCAGATTTAAGATGAGTATGACATTGGAAGACTTGCTGGCCCGTGACGACCTGCACATGAAGATGATCCAGAATAAATTACCACCAATCGAAAGAATGATGGAAAGTACAAGAAGGATCGGCAAGCCCTTCCGAACTATGTAGATTGATAAAATGTCTTCGCTATAAAGCCCCGTCGAACCATTGTAACGATTGATGTCAGTGAATTTGTTCTGCCTGGATACATTTGTAATGTTATCGATGTAGTATCTGGAGATTGTACTACTATCCATGATGGATAATTAACAAATTCAATTAAAGAGCAGCTCTTTTTGATATGTACATCTTCAACTAAATTTATCACCTAACAATGAACGATACGATGTCCAATAAAACTTTAGTAGGCCTATTATTCGATTGGTAGCGTACGGAACTAATTCCTAACATGTCAAAATCATTAATTTCACAACAATTTATTTATTATGTCAATAAAATATTTTGTTACATTTATTAAATTTGTTAAACAATTATGCCATAAATATTATTAATTAATATGTTATGATAATTTGAAAAAATGAATACTACTAATTAATATGTTATGATAATTTGTAAAAATAAATGTTATTAATTAATGTTATGATAATTTGTTACAATCACCACCTCTTATCAAACTTGTAATAAAATCCTAACGAATTTTTTTTAGAATGAAAATGTTTTCATGTTTTAATGTTTTCAGAAGCGTGCATGCAAACGAACACCATGTAAACTGTTTCATGTATAGCTGATTCGTACATGAAATGATAGTCTTATAATGTTCATACACTGTGTCAACCATAACTTGCTGTGTTCAGTTCATGTAATATGTAATGTGCAAGGAGTTAATATCACGTTTACTTTAAACTTGAGTACTTATTGAAATTTTTTTTTAATTTAACATGTTAAT